CTGCGTCTGCTGACCTCGGTGTCGGCCTCCGGCAATGAGGGGAGTGGTGCGACGCCGCCTTCGGCCAAGTGCATCGCCGGTGGCCGACGTGACGAGCGGCAGGTCGACGTGGGGTTGCAGTCGATGTCGACAGGGGAGGAACAGGTCGAGAAGCAGGTCGAGGACCAGCGGCCGACAGAGGAGCAGGCAGCAGTGACGCCGACCAAGGAGCAGTCGGCGACCGGGCAGTCGACAGGGCAGCCGGAGCGGTCGACAGGAGAGCTGTCGAAGGCAGCAGCAGACGAACAGCCGGTCAGAGGGTCAAAGCAGCTGGTCGACGATGTTCTCGTCGACGAGAAAGGGACGCAGTCGGCGGGAGAGGAGTCCACCGACAGCGACGTGATAGAAGTGCCGATCACGAAGCCTGAGTTGCGACGCTCAGGTCGAGCTCGACGGCCGCCGGAGCGGTTGAGCTTCCACGCCTGCCTACCGCCAGCTGCCTTCACCACGGTGTACGACGAGGTCGATGACGACCTGGCGTATGACGATGCCGAGGAGGATGAGGAGTTTCCAGAGCTCGACCCCGACATGTTAGCCGACCCCGAGCACCGGTGGGACATCTCGACGATGACGGTGAAGGAGGCGTTGGCGAGCTGGAAGGGCCCGGCGGTGAAGGCCGCCATGGAGGAAGAGATTCGCAGCCTCCTCAACATGGGAACGTGGGAGTTGGTCGAACGCCCGCCGGGGGTGAACGTCATGAAGAACCGGTGGGTGCTGACAACGAAGTACCACGTCGACGACACCGTCGAGCGCGAGAAGGCGAGGCTGGTTGTGAAGGGCTTCACGCAGGTGTACGGCGCCGACTACGACGAGACGTTCGCGCCGGTGGGCAGCTATGTCACACTGAGGATCTTCCTCAGCATCGTCGCCGTCCGCAACCTCAACCTGATGCAGCTCGACATGAAGAACGCCTTCTTGCAGAGCAAGCTCGACAGGGTGCTCTACATGTCCCAGCCGGACTGCTTCAATGACGGGACCGGCCGGGTGTGCAAGCTGCTAAAGAGCCTGTACGGGCTAAAGCAGTCGCCGCTGCTGTGGTACTTGGCGCTCAACGACGTGCTGGTCGGCGCCGGATGGAAGAAGAGCCAGGTCGACGAGGCTCTCTACTGCAAGGTCGGAGAGGACGGAGTGGCCTGCTGGGTGCTGGTCTACGTCGACGACCTCCTCGCCGCCAGCAGCAGCGCCGCGATGTTGAAGGAGCTGAAGGAGCTGCTGGAAGCTGCCTTCGAGCTGCGTGAGATCTCGCCGGTGTGGAAGTACCTCGGGCTGGAGATCGTCCGCGACAGGTCGGCGGGGAAGCTGTGGCTGCATCAGCAGGGCTACGCCGACAAGCTGCGTAGGCGCTTCATCGACGAGGGGCAGACCGGGCGCACCCCGAAGACGCCGGTCTCAGTCGACGCCTACGCCGAGCTCACGTTTGATGACGAGGAAGCACAGGCGCGGCAGGAGGAGGAGTACCGGCAGAAGGTCGGCTCGCTGCAGTTCGCGGCGACGACGACGAGGCCGGACATCGCCTTCGCCTGCAGCAAGCTGGGGAGCGGCCTCACGGTGAGGAGCGACCAGCACTGGCGCGAGGTCGACCGCTGCCTCGCCTACCTCGCCAATACGCGCGACACCGCCCTGGAGTTCGGCGGTGGACCTGAGTCGCTGGAGCTGGTCGGCTACGTGGACGCCGACGACGCCGGTGACAAGCAGAACAGGACGAGCACGAGTGGCTACGTGTTCGTCTATGGAGGGGCTGCAGTCTCCTGGTCGAGCCAACGCATCAAGTGCGCGACATTGTCGTCGACCGAGTCGGAGTACGTGGCGGCCACCGAAGCTGGCAAGGAAGGACGCCGACTTCGCTTCCTCCTTGCAGAATTCCGGCAGCTGGATGCCGGGAAGCCGACCGCCCTTCGGGTGGACAACAAGTCGGCCATCACAGTCGCCGAGGGCATGGGGTTGACGGGCAACCTCAAGCACATGGAGCGGCGACAGGCCTGGCTGCAGGCGTGAAGGGTTATCTTGGCTCGATATAAGCGGATCATTGCCGAACCAGACAATAATGGAATGCCTCCCGAACACCGTTTTTTCTGCAGACGTTTTTAACTACCCGGATCTTCCACGAATTCAGTTTCTCTAGCAAAGTGCTCATTTTCTGATCCGCCGCACCATGCGGCCTCGAGGCCTCGCACCATGCGGGGTATCAGTGATTCGGGGCAATCAAATGTGACTGGTCAAATATGCGAGCCAATCATATGATCACGCGATCCATCAAGGCAACTTTCGATCACCTTCTGCGAAACTCGGAATCTCGATTGATGCCATCAATCTACACCCAATTAATGCCAACCGAACACTCATGCCATTTTCCCGAATGAATGTCTCAACCCAACGGGGTCCGACGGTGGGCCGACGGCCGTCGACCATCGTCGACCTGACCGGCGGGCAGAAACAAAACTAAAACCCCATCGGATGGCATGCCATCCGAGGGAGGCATCAACCCTAAATCCATGCCTCCGTGTGTTTAAGGTTGATGCCTCCCTTGTCAACGGGAGTGGTATGTTGGCCCCGTCCACGCTTGGGCGGAGTCGACATCGTGGTCGGGTGTTAGGGGAGCAGCCGATCTGCAGCAGTGGGCGAGCTGGTCGACGAGGAGGTCGACCTGCACGAGGACCATTGCACGGGCGCCGACTTCTGGGTGGCGCCGACTTTGGGGAGGTCGACTTAGGAGTCGACCTGCGGAGGACGTCAATTTGGTGACGTCGACTTGGGAAGCCGACTTCGGTGGTCGGCTGACGTACTGGTCGACCTGCGGGTGGTCGACTAGATCCGGTGGTCGACGAAGGAGGGGTCGACGTCGAGTAGCAGGACGTCGAGCAGTCGGGCGTCGAGCGACATGGTCGTCGACCAAGGGGTGTGGTCGGCCTGGTGAGGTCGACATCGAGGTGGTAGTCGACTTGGGAGGTCAACGAACACGAGCGGGAGTTGCTGGTCGATGTGGTTGCCCCGTCGACCAGGTTACCTGGGTGACGAAGTGCTGCGGAGGAGTGCGACGGTCACCCAGGCGAAGTTGGCGAGACCGATCTCGGTGGTGGTATCCCGAGGTCGTCGTGGCAGATCAGAGGCAGCCGTCAGCCCGAGGCTGACGTGGTGTGTGTGTGCTGTGCAGGTGATGGGCCTTGGCAGACCAATCATCTGCACGCATCTGCAAAGTGGGTGCACTGCTGGCACACCGTCGACCTGCAGCTGTCGACTTTGCACTGCTGGAGCGCAGTCGACCAGGTCGTGTTGGAACGTGGTCGACCATGCTGTGCTGGCAGTTGACCAACCTGAGTGCTAGCTCTGATGTAGTCTTGCATTGCCAACTTCATTGAATCATTGTTGTGATCTTTCCTTAGTAAAACTCTTGCCAAATTGCCCCGTGAACTAGCAAGTAGTGTGAGCACTAGGAAAACGTCTAAGGACCAACCATACGCAGAAATCACACGAGCCCACGTGCCTAGCCAGTGGTCTAGCTCCCGTTGTAGTAGTTATCTCCGCATCCCTGACCGGATGCATGCCCGTCTGGGGTTTTTTTCTTGCCCGCGGGCATCGAGCTCCGCTGGGCGGACTTGCTTGTCGGCTGAGCTATATTGTAAGGTGCACTGCAGCTACAGTCCAGTTTCGAAGTTGTTCCTGGAAATTCCCAGGCACCATTTTTTGGGGGCCCGTTAAAAATGCCCAAAATGGCGAAAATGGCCATAATGCCTGCCGAACTGGGCCCAAACGAGGGTTTGAAGCAACTCTCCCCCGACATAGTGCGAAATCAATCTCGCGAAAAGGTTTCGTCGTGCAACTGGCTAGACTCGAGGCTCAGGACTGCGCGACGTGGCTCGGAGGGTCGTCTGGCATGTCATTATTTTCGCAATTGAGGATACTCGCAGCTCATTGGTGGTTGTACCGACATCAGTTACCGTTGTAACCTGGCTGGCTCATTTTTTCCCCGAAATGATACCACGCCCCCACCCAACCTTTCGGTGGGACCACTAGAACCCCGATCCGATCCAGCACACACCAAGGCACCCGCAAACAACCACCGACATGTGTCCGTAACTCGAACTGCCGAAAGGCAATGCGTAAGTCTTGCGATGGACGAGTGGATAGGAGCCGTAGTTCCTAACCAGATACCGGAATCTCAGCAGGTGACGGATTCTGAGACGGTAACGGAGTCTGACCAGGCTCGGGAAACGGCTCTCGAGCCGCCAAGAAAGTCGTCTGATCAGGGACGCGAAACGGTTCAGGCGATTGTGGCGGAGAAAAAAAAGCTTACCCGTCCTCGTTCTTCTTCCGCGAAACGGAAACCGCAGGACAAGGGGAAGGGAAAGGAGCGAGCGAACGAGCAGCAGGGAGAGGAGGAGCAGTCTAGAACAAAACGAGAAAAGGTTTTGCCTGGCCGGTTAGCTTCAGGGGTTCTGCCGACGACAGAGCAAGCTTCATTGCTGACTGACGAGCAGATACGGCAGGATAGGGAAGCGAACGAACAGCAGGAAGAGGGGCAGCAGTCTAGAGCAGATCCAGAAAAGGTAGTGGGACCGGTAACAGGGCAAACGGCAGAGCTGACTGCCGAGCAACTACGGCAGCACACGGAGCAGATTACAGTGCCGCAGCCACAGGACCTTGCTGCGCTACGCGCCAGCCCTCGCCGCCCAAGCAGTCCCGGCTTGTCGTCTAACGTGAGCGTGAGGCAGCTGAGGTCTCTCTTCGAACAGTCTAAGACCGCAGTAAGAACCGCAGGAGCAGCAGGGCCGCTTCGGAAAGGCGGTAAGACAAGCAAGGGTACCAAGAGCGCAGGCAGCGGTAGCAACTCCGGCGGCGGCAACGCGAACGCGAAGGCTGTTAGGCGTGCCGGCAGCAGCGGCGCCACCACAGACACAGACTCATCCGACGCATTGGGTAGTAGTGGTAACCCTAACCCTAACCTTAACGCTGCGAACGGAAAAATGAAGAGAGATGGGTCGCTTAGAGCGGGGTCTGTTCTCGGTCCCGCAAGCAGATCGTCCCCTAGACGGAAAGGGCAAACCGCAGGTGGAAACTTGGGTAAATCCCCCCGTGCTGTGAAGAGCCAGGTGCAGCGGCGGCAGCAGGGGAAGCAGGCGTCGCAGGGACGGCCGAATACTCCCTGTCAGGTAGACACGAGCACGAGAGGAGGACATGATGGGTGCGGGCTGGAAGAGGATGGGAGTCGTTTGAATGGAGAGTGTTTGGGAAATGACGGTGCGATTTGTAGGGAGGCTGGTGGTGAAGAAAGCGGGGAGGATGAAGGAGTGGGGTGCGGTGCTTGTGGCGTTTCAATGGGTGGTGAGCCTAGCAAGGAGGTGTGTGCACCGGGGTTTGGTGGCACAGGAAACGGCAGCAGCAGAGGGAGAGGAGCAACGGGGAAGGGAAAGCAGGCGTATGGAGTGGCTACACTTCGTTCTGATGCGGTTGAGATGGATACAGATGGGGAGGGAGACGAAGGGGAGAGGCGACTAGCAGTGAGACTAGACAGTTTGGAAGGAGAAGAGGAGGTGAGCGCAGGGGAAACCGTTGTCCTCGTTATAGGCAGCGGAAACACTGGCCTTACAACGGGGGTTGTCATGACTCCAGGCAGAACGAGGCGGAAGAGAGAGGGGGAAAGGACGGGGGGCCGGGGGAGAGGTGGAGGTGCGGGCATGGGGCAAGGCAGGGTGAGAGGGACGGTGGGAGAGAGAATACGACAGCTGGAGATAGCTGCAGCAAGTGCGGCTGCGGCTGCAGGTGTGGGGAGGGGTGCGGTTGCAGGGAGGAAAGGGAGAGGAGGAGCAGCTGGAGTTGCTGCTGCTGCTGCTACTGCTGGTGCTGCTGCTGCTGCTGCTACTGCTGGTGCTGCTGCTGCTGCTGCTACTGGTGGTGATGCTGCTGCTGCTGCTACTGGTGGTGATGCTGCTGCTGCTGCTACTGGTGGTGATGCTGCTGCTGCTGCTGGTGCTGGTGGCAGGGTTAATGCTCGTAGAGAGTGGGGCCCCAAGGGGAGGAAAGCTGCAGGGCTTGCTGGGGAGACAGTAGGAGCAGAGATTGGCAGTGGGAAGAGGAAGGAGCAGGGGATTGAAGGTCGTGGTGAGAATAAGAACGGGGATGGGGATGGGGACGGGGGATGTAGTGGGGAGGATGCATTGGGAAAGGGCTTGGGTGTGGGAATGGGGGGTTTACCGGTGCTTACTGTGGGAGGAGCAGACAGCCGAGCGGTTTTTGAGGGTGCTGTTGTGAGTGTTGCCGCTCGCGGTGCTGGTACACGCGGGGCGGCAGGGGCGGCAAGGGGGAGAAAGGGAGGGAAGAAGGGGAGTGGTGCGGGAGAAAGGAGGTTGTCTGGAGCAGGATGGTCGTCGGGAGGAGAAGGGGAGGGCAAGAGGAGCAGGGGGAAGGGTGGTGGTGGTGGTGGTGATGGTGGTGAGGGCGAATCAGTGGTGGTGGAATGCTGGAAAGAGGATGAAGCAGTGGATACTTGTGAGGGGAATGTGGTAACACGGTTACTGGGATACAAGGGAGCAGAGAGTCCTGATCAAGGTGGCATGGCTTCTCAAGAGGAACGAGCGTCAGTGTGTGACGAGAGACGAGACGAGATAAGAGAGGGGATGAGAGAGGGGAAGAGCGATGAGATGAGCGACGACACGAGGGACACGACAAGAGGGGAGATGATTATGAGAGGAGGGGGTTTGGAAGAGTGTGGACAAGGGGTGGTGGAGGGAGGACAGCGCGTGCTGGTTAGTGAAGGAGGGTTGTATCTTCGAGAAGGAAAGGAGCTGGGGGTGGAGGTGGAGAGAAGGGAAGCGGACGAGGAAGAAGAAGCAGGAGAGGGGGAGGAGTGTGACGAGGAGGAGGAGGAAGAGAGGGAGGGGGAGGTTGTGTGTCACGAGCTGCGACTGAGTGTGGAAATGGAGGAGCAAGCGAGACAGGCGTTGGAGGGGGGAGAGAGTGTGCTGCTGGTTGATGACGTGTCAGGACGGGCCTATCAGCTGCTGCCAGCTGTCGTCGTGGAGGGGGTGGGCGTGGATGGAGGGAGGGAGGAGGGGGAAGGTAGTGATGAGGAAGAGGAGGAGGAGGAAGAGGAGGAGGATGGGGATGAGGGTGAGTGTGATTGTGGGGAGGAGGAGGTGGAGGAGGAAGAAGGGAAGGAGGGTTCAGATAAAAAGAGGGAGGCAATGGTGATGGAGGCAGTGGAATGGGAGGAGGATGGAGGGGAGGATGATAAGGAAAAGGAGGAAGTGAGGGACGAGGAACGAGAGGATGCGCGGGAGGGGGAGGAAGAGAAGAGGAGGATGAAGGAGGAGGAGAGGAGAGGGATGGAGAGGGAAGAGTGGGAAAGGAGGGGACAGGAGGAAGTAGCTGGTGGAGAGGAGGCATGGGCAGCAGAATCTGGCGTTGCTGGTGCTAGTGAGAGAGGAGATGATGGGCCAGGTGGGCCCGGTGGGGCAGGTGGGGCAGGTGGGGCAGGTGGGCTAGCTGAGGCTGGTGGTCCCTATGTCGGGCGGTCTCTCTCGTCCCTATCTGGCGACTTGTCTTTCTGCGGGAGCTTGGAGGATGCAGGGACTATCGGCGACACCAGCGTTGGCACCGAGAGGGGTAGCTGTAGCATCTATAGCCGTGTGGTTGATGGAGAGGGGTATGGGTTTCCGGCGAGGACGAGAGGGTATCTGTCAGCAGCAGCGACGGCAGCAGTAGGGGCAGCGTATTTTGAGGCGCCTCAAGAGGGGTATGTGTTTCCAGAGAGGTCGAGTGGGTGCGTGTTTGAAGCAGCGGCAGCAACAGCAGCGGCAGCAGCCGCAGCAGCCGCTGCAGCAGCAGCAGAGCAAGCAGCAGCAGAGAGAGCAGCAGCAGAAAGAGCAGAGGAGGCGTTAGCAGAAGAACCACTGCGGCAGGTGGTAACTGGAGCATGTAGGAGGTCTGGTAACAGCAGTGGCAACGGTAATGCCAATGGCAGTGGCAGTGGCAGCGGCAGGAGCAGCAGCAACCAGCCTGGCCGTCATGGTCTCAGAGCTGGTGCCGCCTCAAGCCTCGACTCCTCGACACACAACCTCGCGCAAAAACACCTCTCACACCCTTCCTCCTCCTCCGTTTCCTCCTCCTCCGCCTCCCCGCCCCAATCTATCTTCTCTACCTCCTCTGCTGTCCGCCGCACTGTGGCGGTGAAACAGTGGATCGACTCCCAGCCAATGGCGTCGCAGCTCGACCCTGTTGCAGAATCAAATCTTGAATCGAATCCGGAGCAGAATTTTGATGCCAGATTTGAGCCGCCGACTGAGATCGTGCCAGTAATAGAAGCAGAAGAAGACGAAGTGCTCATCCTACCCTCAGCAGCAGCAGCTGCAGCCGCAGCCGCAGCCGCCGCAGCAGCAGCAGCGTCTGCTTTTGCTCCCGCTCCCACTGCTGGCCTGGGAAACCCTTCTGGTGCTGCTCGCACAGACCACCCTTCGCTATTGTCACACAGCTCAGCCCGTCAAGCCGCTCGTTACAGTCACAACAATCACCAGATTCCCCGGGCCATGCCGCCCAACCAGTGCTTCCTAACTCCTGTGCGCATTGCTGCTCGTCGGGGGCTGTTTCGGAACGAGTGTGTGGCTCCTGCTGTGCTGGGAGCAGGAAACCACTCCCGAGGTGCTCCTGGGGCGTTGGGAGTGGGGAGTCAAAACAACCCCCACGGAGGAGGTCACTTTTCACAGTCCAGGGGTGGTGGAAATAGTAGGGTGAGTGGGAGTCAGACTATGGATGGCGGGCGCGGGGTGAGGAGGGCGGGTGAGAGGTTGAGAGGAAGGAGTGAGGGTGGTAGAGGGGGTGGTGAGGAGATTGGGATGGGGAATCAGCGAGCTACATTGAGGCCTGTTGGGGGGTTGAGATCTGGGGAGGTGAGGCGAGAGGGAGGGGCAGAGGGGAGTGTTGGGGGAGTTGCGGATGTTGGGATAAGGGGGAGTGCGGCAAGGGGGAGAGTGGTGGGAGGGGCAGAATCAGGGGTAGATGGAAGCTTGGGAATGGCAGCAGGTGGATTAGAGGGAGAAGGATCAGGACCAGGAGGAGATATGTCTGTGGTAGGGGAGGGGAGGGAGGGGGGAGGTAGTGCTGGTGGTGCTGACAACACAAGGCGTGGAAGAGGAGGGAGGGGGGTGAGAGGGGGAGGAGCAGCGAGAAGAGGGAGAGGGAGAGGAGGAGAAAGAACGAGGGCAGAGAATGCATTGCACGAGATACAAGAGGAGGAGAGGCAGGACGAGTTGCCGGACCAGGGAGAAGAGGAGTGCAGAGCTGCAGAAGGAGAGGGAGAAGCAGAAGGAGAGGGAGAAGCAGGAGGAGACTATCTGAGCGATGCAGCCACGCGCCTTTCCTCGGTGCATGCGGACGCTCGTTTCTCTAGGCTGCCTTCCGTGCGGCATGTGGTGGAGGAGGGAGAGTGTGATGGCAGGGTGCAGGGAAGGGGGGCGGGCAGTGAGCGGGCGCCGCGGCGCTGGTGGCTCCTCACCGGCTCCTCGGCTTACCTGTGTGTGGCGTGCCCTGTGGTGCTGCGCCCTGTGCGCCCTGTGCACAGGACCACGGGCACGGGCACTGGTACTGGCACTGGCACTGGCACTGGCACTGGCACTGGCACTGGCACTGGCACGGGCACTGGCACTGGCACTGGTACTGGCACTGGCACTGGCACTGGCACTGGCACTGGCACTGGCACTGGCACTGGCACTGGCACTGGCACTGGCACTGGCACTGGCACTGGCACTGGCACTGGCACTGGCACTGGCACTGGCACTGGCACTGGCACTGGCACTGGCAGATCACTCTGCTTTAGGCAGGATGACGTTGGTGATGGTGATGGATCAGAGGATGTGGGAATCGGTGGAGGAGGTGGTGTGGCTGGGAGAGTGCCTGCTGCTCCTTGCTCGTCGCCTCGTGATTCGCCGAGGGAAGGTGCTGATGTGGCTGAGTGGCGTGTAAACGGGGCAGGAGAAGCTGGAGAAGGCGAGATGGAAGAAGTAGGAGGAACAGGAGGAGCAGAGCGGAGAGCAGTGCGAGCAGCAACGGCAGAAGAAGCGAGTGAAGAGGAAGAGGATGAGGAAGAGGACGAAGGGGAGACATGGCACATGTGCATGAGAAGGAGAGTGCGCACTAGAGAAGGCGGGGTAATTGGTAGAAGGGCAGGAGGGAGACACGGAGAAGGTGAACATGTTAACAGGGAAGGTGAAGGTGATTACCCGGATGGAGTAGATGCAGCAAATACCGAGACTGCTTTTAATGGGGATATTTCTGCTGCCAGTGCTGGGGGCGTTGCTGCTACACAGGTGCATGGGGCATCAGCTGCAAGTGCAACTGCGCATGCCTTGAGTGCTCGCAGTGGAGAGGGCATGAGGAGCCGAGCCTTGTGGCGCTGGCAGCAGCAGCAGCAGCGCCTGAGGAACCAGTTCTCGCCCCTCCCCTCCCTCCTCTCCTCCCCCTCCCATGCCCCTCGCACCGGCCAATCCCGTCGTGACACGCGGCCCCGTGCGCTGAGTCAGAGCCAGCAGAATCCGCGTCAGCAGCTGCCAGAGCATCAGGAGGTGGGTTCGGGGCAGCAGCATCTCGTGCCAGGTCAGCTTCTGCTGAGTCAGCAGCAGTCTGCGTCGAGTCAGCGCAGGTTGGGTCGGCGTCGCGTGTCTGTGCATGGGCTAGCGGGCAGGCAAGTCAGGCAGAGAGGAAGTGGAGGGGACAGAAGAGCAACGGGGGCTGCGCCAGGGGCACGATCGGAGGGAGTGCAGAGCGGTGATAGTGATCTGGAGGCGAATGAAACAGATAGGAGGGGTGGAGCGATGGAGGGTGAAGAGGAAGAAAATATTCCTGCAGAACCTGAGGGTGGAGTTAGTGACAACGTGAGAAGGGTTGCGGCAGAAGAAAGGGAGGACGCTTTAGGAGCAGTAGAAGAGAGGAGTGCTGCTTTGGGAGTAGTGGAAGAGAGCGAGGCGAACAGTGGTTCGGGAGCGTTGCTACGGCAAGCAGGGAGTGGTGGTTCGGGAGAGATCGAGGAGACCACAGGGGTGGCTGTAGAGAGGGGGAGGGAGAGGTTAGGTGGTGAGGAGGTGGTGAGGACAGCTGGGGATGCAGCAGCAGGAGACTCAGAGGTAGATACATCAGGAGGTACAGGAGTGGCAGGGGCAGGGGGGGAGTTGGTGAGCTGTGGTGCTGCAAACAGTGTTGTGAACGGAGTCTGCTCACCTGCCGAGCCTACAGCATCGGGTGAAAGTTCGGCAGAAGGTGAGGAGGTTGGGGAACCGATTGGGTCGGAGAGTGTGTTGGAAGAGGGTGGCTGTCTGCAAGAAGCCGGCTCTTTGAACGAGCAAGGCGCTCGGGACGACAATGCAAGGAACGAGGAATGCTCTGAGGGAGTGGAAGACCGTGGTGTTAGTGACAGGCTAGCGGTCGGTTTGGCAGTGGCAGTGGGGGCAGCAGCAGGCAGCAGCAAAGGTGCAACTTGTGAGGTGCAGCAACAGGCGGTTAGCATTGCAGAGCCGGCCGAGGGTATTGACATAGCAGGGGGTGTGCCATCAGGTTGTGGTGCTGCAGAGAGAGGGGCGAATGCAGTTGTGGCTTCTTTTGTACCAGCAGCCATCGCCCCTTCAGAGGTCGATGAGGGTGGGACTCAACCACCCTATACCGCTGCTTGTACTGGTGAGACACCTCGTTCAGCGCCGGATGCAGCACCTGATGCGGCTCCTGGCACAAGACAAGTCCAAACACCTGAGGAAGCACCTGAAGCTGGTAGCAGCCAGACAGCGTCAACAGCAGCCACAGATCCCTATGCCAACTCACCAGCCAATGCCACACTGGCTTCACAGCAACCACTCTCCACCCCTCTCTTTGCAGCAGAGTGGAATGCCGCAGCAACCATGTACCCTGCTTTTGTTGCACCTCCCCCCATCGCACCGCACTCCATTGCACCTCCCTATACTGCACCTCACACCACTGCACCTCCCTCTATTGCACCTCACACCATTGCACCTCCCACTATTGCACCTCACACCATCGCACCTTCCCCCGTCGCGCCTCCCCCCATCGCACCTTCCCCCGTCGCGCCTCCCCCTATCGCACCTCACCCCATCTCGCCTCCCCCTATCGCACCTCCCCCTGTTGCACCTGCCCCTTTCCCGTCAACACTTTCCATGCCCAGTCCCTCTTCCATTGGCGAAGCAGCAGCAGCAGTAACAGCAGCAGGTGCTTTCCATTCATTCGTTCATTCGAACACAGATGCGCCACAGCCACAGGGTTATCAGGTTACCGTGTTACCACAAGCACCATCCATGGGCACACCACCACAGGTGCTGCTGCCTTACACTCATGACACACAGCAGACCTCACTACAGGCCTTACAGCCTGCCTTACAGCAGACAATACTGCAGCAATCTATAGGCATACAGCTCCTCCCCTCTATGGGTCAGGAGCCTTCGCATTCCACATCCTCCAATCCATTTGAGTTCAGCCTTGCTCCTGTCCCCCACGCTCCCACTAATCCGTTTGACCCATCCCATCCGTCCAATCTGCCAACTTGTGATCCAACCCCGGTGCCGATGCTGGCCGTCAGCTATGCTGCTTCTGCTGGGTATTCCCTTTCTACCCCTCCTGTCCCTTCTGCCCCTCCTGCTGTATTCGCCCCGGGCCCCCCTGTGCCCTGGCATCAGACATACCAACAGCATGATAATGGGCCGTTGCCAGGTGCAACAGCAGCAGCTGGGGCAGAAACAGCAGCAGGGGCAACAGCAACAGCAGGCGCAGGCGCAATGGCTGCAGCAGCATTGTCTCCCACAACTGAGTGGGTTCTGTTTTCCCCGGCACGAGGCGAGGAGGCAGGCACTGCAGCAAGCGCTGCGCCGTTAACAGCTGTAGCAGCGGCAGCGTCAGCGGCACCAGCAGCAGCAGCAGCACCGGCAGCAGCTGTAGCAAGTCAGTGGACAGCAGTTGGAGCACCAGAAGGAGCTAGTGGATTTGGGGAGAACAGAGGGGTGGCAGAGGAAGGGAGAGAGGGGGGCAATTGGAGAGTGGCAGCAGTGGAGGGGAGAGAGGAGGCAGAGGGGGGGCGAGCAGGAGCAGAGGTGACGAGAGTGGTTGCGCCAGAAAGGGTAAGTCCTGCTCGTTTCCGCAGGGTGGTGAGTTCAGGTGCCACACAGATGACCACTGTCAATACCGCCTTGCCTGTGCCCACGGGAGCACGCATGGGCTCCCCATTGGCTCGAAGGGGGAGAGATGGCCACACAGGCGCTGGGGTGTTGCATTCAAGCAACAGCTTTAGCGGTGGTGGTGCTGTTGGGAGTAGTGGTGCTGCTGGTGGTGAGGGTGTGAGTGGTGTGACTGGTGGCAGCAGCCGAGGGGAGGTGGTCTTGAGGATGCACGAGCAGAGGCAGCAGCAGCGGCAGCGTCTCATGCTGCTTCGGCTGCAGCGCATGCTGTTGACCCGTGGCGAATCACCTATTAACGAGGATGGAGAAGCAGGAGAAGGGGAGGAGAGCCAGCAGCAGAGTCTGACCCACCAGCAGCAGCACCAGCTGTACGAGCAGTTGCAGCAGAGCCGTGGAGGAGGCAGGGACGAACAGGCACTGATTGATGCTGCGATTGAGCAAGCCCTCTTCGGCTCCTCCTCCTCATCCACTCTGCTTACCAGCAGTTCTGCTACCGCTGCTGCTGCTCCAGGTTCTAGTGGTATCGATTCTTCTCGTCCTGCTGTCTCAATGAGGCTTCCAGCATCAGCGCGTGTCGTGGCAGCAATGGCAGCAGCAGGAACAAACGCTGGGGCAGGGAGTGGCATCGGCATTGGAACAGCAGGTACTGTAGCAGGTGCTGTAGGGGGTAATGTAGCACGTAGCACATCAGGTACTGTAGCAGGCAGTGTAGCAGGAGCAGGAGTGCCACTGGTAGCAGTGCTGGGAGGCCCGCCGATTCAAGTGTCATCCAGGCGAACCCAGAGCCCTGCTCTCACCCACACACACGCTTGGGGGGGCGGGGTATCCAGCAGCAGAAGGCAAGTTGGGGTGGAACGACAGAGGGGAGGAGCAGAGGAGCAGGAAGAGGAGGGGCGCAGGGGTAGGCGTGGGGGAGGAGCGGTAAGAGGGAGAAGAGGGGGAGAGAGTATAGGAGGAACAGTAGCTGGAGAGGATGTTGAGGCGAGTGGAGAAGAGGAAGGGGAGCCTGGGGAGGCGGTGTGCTGTGTGTGCATGGAGAGGCCGAGGAAGGCAGCATTTGTGCCGTGTGGTCACATGCTGTGCCGCATGTGTGCTCAAGAGGTCAGGGACCGGCGCGGCAAGTGCCCTCTCTGCAATAGGAAAATCAAGGATGTGCTTAAATTGTACTGATAAGACCACTGTTTTGACATTGTGGTCCGTGGTAAATATCCAACTTTATTATTAATCCTTATACGGTACTGTTATTACCATGGTCTGCAGAAAGAAAGGAAAACAGTTGCGAATGTTTGTTGTACACAACAAAGCCCATTAAATAGCAAATGAGCAGTTAGAAGCAGGGAGCATTCGCCTGAAATTCACGGGACAAACCCAGAGAGCTTATTTCTTGAAGTAGAAAACATCCACTCCAGGAAGAGCCGGCTTCACTCTGTCTACCATCCAATAATCTGCAAGCCCAACATCTTCCAGGCTGGGAAGAGCCCTCAAACACGCAATGCCATATTCACCAAATGGTGATTTTAAATAGATAGTCTTGAGATTCCGAAAGCATGTCAGATGCTGGAGTCCCTGTTCAGTGATGTACTCTGGGAGGCAGAGCCAAGAGAGTTTCGTCAAAGGCCGAAGATGTGGCAGTGCGCCATCTGACACCAACGAATTCCCAAGATCCAACGTTTGAAGCCATGTCAGCTTCCCTAGATTTGCAAGTCCTGCAAAGGAGAAAGTAAGACTGTCATAGGAACACGAGCAGTTATAGCTACGAGAGAAGAAGAGGTCTTCAAGGGAGCTTAGAGATGTCAAATGTCCAAGCCCAACTTCTGTAACTGCAGTCTCAATCAAATTCAGCCGATGCAGATTCGGCAAATGGCTGATTCCCAAAATCACAGAATCATCAACTTTGGTTGATTGTAACTTCAGCTCCTCCAACCAGGGCATTGATGGAAGGTATTTTAAGGCGGCTTCATTGACAGATCCGCAAATGCTGAGGCTCTTCAGGGATGTCATGCAGGCGAGGCGATAACTGCCAATGGCAGATAAGGGTTCAAGGTTACTGAGTTCCACTTTGGTAGTATCCGTGGCCCGTATGATCTTTTTATCCGCATCGGTAGTTTGCTGACAAGAAGCCAATGTAATAGCCTGAAATGAAACTAAAAATAAATATTAGGTACTGAGATTGAGCAGATAAACTCGTATACAGTACCAGCATTTCTCACCTCCCAAATCTGAATCACTTCTCGCTTCTGCTGTACCAGCGCTGTCTCTGCTTCCGATAATCGTGCTCTCAGTGCCGTGACCTCCTTTTCCTTCTCTGTTTCTACCTGCGAAATCCGTGCTGCCAGTGCAGCCATCTCTTTCCTCTGAACTGTCTCTGCCTGCGATACTCGTGTTGTCAAAGCAGCCAACTCTTTTTTCTTCTTCGCTTCTGCCTCCAAATATCGTGCCTTCAGATCAGCTATTTCCTTATCCTTCTCCTGCTTACCCGTATCACAAGCTAACTTAAGCACCCGCTCATTAATGCTACTTCTACTGGCCCTATTTATTGCTTCCAAAGCGACCACTCTCTCCCTCAAACCTTCCATCGCTGCCTCCACACTTCCCACTCTCTCATTGATCCTTACCCTCTGCTCGTTTTCTTCGTCCTCTAAATCCAGCCTAATTTCGTCAAACCGAATCGCTAATCGCATCGCTCCCCTTGTAACTTCTTCCAGAAGGACTTCGGTTGCCGTCTCCATTGTGAGCTCAATCTGACGTGACGTGGAAGGAACTCCTGAAGCAGCTGGATTGAAGCAGCGTCAGAATCTAGGTAGCTCGGCAGGCTCTTTTCCAAGGGGAACGATTAGAAAATGCTTGGGAATTTGCTTCTGCGTGGCATCTCTGGTATAAGCTTGATTGGCTACTTCTCATGTCACAAGCTGGAACGTGTTGAGCCCCTGCTTGCCAGGATCAACTTCACCGCACTGAATCCTACTAAAACTCTTAAACCACATCAGGGGAGTAGCGACAAACGATTGGCGATGTGTTGACGAAATAAAAGCTCCCTAGTTACTCGCAGTCTCGGATTTTGTTTCGCCTTACAGGAACCCCTTCCATTGCCGTCCATCACACCAGAGGCGAAACTTCGCATCTACGAAACGTTCGCACGATCAACCCCACCGCCAGCCTCCCACCGAAAACGGTGAGATAGTCAAGCCCAAGGCAATTCTCGTTTCTCCATAATCCCTCTCTTCATGAACCACACTGGATGCGAGGCGGGTGTGTGACCAATCGAAGTCACCGAGAGACCACCTGCGCTCTAGGCTCCCTGAGCGAACATAAAACCATTTTTGGAGCCGCGCGTTGCTTTCGTATCCTCGTCGATTTGATCTTCCGAGGACCGTGAGCCTTAAACTCTGAGTGCGACGCGCAAAAGCCTGCTTAATTTGTTTACACAGCATGATCTATAAACCGAGGACCGAGGCCACGCATAGTTTTCATTCCAGTAGGCTGCAGCTGAGTTATCTCTCAGTTTCCAACGTCCGCAACCCCAAAACTGCTCGACACTTTTCCCCTCGCTTGACAAAAGCGCCAGACGAACGTTGAGCATTAAAAGACGACCGTCTCCCGTATCACTGGTTCCACAGCTTTTCGAAATATTCGTTCAAAGCGCTCCACTAAATCCTTTCAACTAATAATTGCGCTACACTAGCGTCAGCTGCAGACCCTGCAGCATCTAGTTCCTTCCGTTTCTTGCTTGTAGCTAGACCCGTAGAACCCGTGCATATCTCACAATGCGTCCAGATTCAGTGCTTCGCGTGACGCTTGCTGGGCTCTGTACAGTCACACTATCTACTAGCCTCTCACCAGCGCAACACCCCAAGTACCATGCTCGCGGAACGAGGTGCCAAGCCTTCGGACGAGGCTCGGGCCGAACCTCGTCCTCAGCTCGGTTCACCCAGCTTCTCCTCCTCGTTTCACTCTCCCTCTGTACAAATCTCCAAAGCTCGCTTGCATATGCCACCGGCGGCCAAGCACACAATATCTCCCTGTCGGATCCCAACGTAGTAGGCGGAAAAGACGCACGCGTCGATGGTATGCGTGCTTCAGGTTCAGAGACGGAGGATGATTCTGAGCGGATCGGGAAGAGGCGATCACTGTTCCGCTGGTGGGCTGGGTCTAAGAAGGCAAAACAGGTGGGTGACAGACAGGTGGGCTTGCAGTCCCGAGACTAAATTCTCCAGGAACCCTCTGTGTTTCATGGCTCCACATGTGCATTTGTGCTCAGCGCATTCCGAAACAAGCCAAACAACTTCTCGCGACAGCATCAGAGTCGTGTGGTCAATCCCTTACCACATCACATCTTGCATATCTGTCTCTTCCCTGTGCCGCTCTTGACTCGCCCATTCCCCTGGGTCACATAGCCCTAGCCTTCTTTAACAGCATCAGAGTCATGCGGTCAATTCTTACCACATCGCTACTCTCAATCCCGTTTCTGTCTCCCTGTGCCTCTCTTGACTCGCCCATTCCCCAGGTGCACATAGCTCTAGCCGGCCGCAACAGCATCAGAGTCAGTCAATCTCTTATCACGTCCCTATGCTCCATTTGGTTTCTATTGCTTCCCTACTCCTCTCTTCTCTCGCCCATTCTCTAGGTGCACATAGCTCTAGCCGGTCCCAACAGCATCAGAGTCATGTGGTCAACGTCCCGCCGTGGTACGCCGTCATTGGTGGAATTCGGGGTAACTTCTGGGCAATACACCAATAAGGCCAAGGGGAAGTCTTCCAGCTACACCTTCCTGACCTATTCGTAAGTACACAAATAGAAACGTTATTCCTTGTCTTTCCCATTGCTTGCTTCGCTCATACACCTTACTTCTCTTTTTTCGTGCTCCAGTCCTGGTCAACCCTTTGATCCCATGAATGCGTTTCGTACCAGAGTCACCTTTTCTTGCTTCACGTTCCAACCCTCCACTAGCCACCACCTGTTATTGCTATCGATTTGCGGGAGAGACACCACTGATCGCAACGATCCCTCGTGATAAAAGTTGCATTTTGAGACGTCTCAAAATGCAACTTTTATCACGGGAGAGACACCACCGATCGCAACGATCCCTTGTAATATTCTCCCTTCATTATTTCCCCTCCCCTCCCGTTCCTCCCTCTCCCCCCCTTCCCATTCCTTTCGTGTGGTAATCCTCTCCCCCCCTTCCCATTCCTCCCTCCATCTTTTCCTTTTCCCCATCCCACCTCCTGTGCAGGTTCCATTAGCTGCACAGTGCAGTGCTCTCGGAACCACCTACCTTTCTCACCTCAAAAGGAAGGGCCCTAAAGCTCTTACGGGTAATCCCTTCCCTTCCCCTCACATTCCTCCCTCTCTTGTCCCCCTCCCCCATCCCAACACCTGTGCAGATCGGACCAGCTGCGCAGTGCAGTGCTATCGATTCTCCAACCCCAATCCACCTACTACTACCGCATCGCTGGGGAGGGGCCGCAACGGTCCTTCGTACTCCCCTACCCTCACATCCCAACCTCCGTCTTCCCCTTGGCCCATCTCATCTCCTGTGTAGGTCGGACCAGCTGCACAGCGTAGTGCTTTCGGGCCTGCAACCCCAATCCACCTACTACTACCGCATCGCAGGGGAGGGACCAGAGCGGTCCTTTGTGACGCCGCCCACCGATGCCGCTGCTGATGTCAGCATCGCTGTTGTTGGTGAGAGCTGGTGTGGCAGTTGGCGGGGGCGGGTGGGAGTGGGTGGGAGTGGGTGGGGTTGGGTGGGTTGTGATGCCACCCACCTCTAGAGTCAGGACCTCAGGTGCAGTGCGGTTAGGATGGCTGGAGAATAAGGGATGTTGAAGTCAGCATTGCTGTTGTTGTTGATGGGTGGTGGCATCAGCGTTTGTTCATCCTCTTCCTCCTTCCCATTCCTCTCCCTTGCGGTGTTTTCTCTCCTTCCAGTTGACATTGGCCTGTCCAAGGCAGCACGCACAACCATCATCCGTCTCCCCAGCAGCCCCACTCCCTCGCCCTCCTCTTCACTCCTCTGCATTCCTCCACTCTCCCTCCTTGCATCCCTTCCAGGTGAAATTGCTCTCTCTAAAGAAGCTTGCACAGCCATCACCCGACTCGCCCAGCAGCCCCACCCTCACCCTCGTCCCAGGAGACCTCTCCTACACCAACGACTTCCCTTACTCTGCCTTCCCCCTCTCATTGCTTGCATCCCTTCCAGGTGACATTGGTCTCTCTAAGGCAGCCCGCACAACCATCACGCGTCTCTCCCAGCAGCCCCACTCCCTCACCCTCGTCCCTGGCGATCTTTCCTATGCCAACGGCTTCCAATCCGTGTGGGACAGGTGGCAGTCTCTGATTGAACCAGACGCCAGCACACACCCCTGGATGGTCGTCCCCGGAAACCACGAAGCCGAGGCACTTAGCGCGATCAGCCCAAAGGGGTTTGAGTGGCCTGCGTTTCTTAAGCGATCCGCTTTGCTAAACAGCGGCGCTTTCCGGGCGTATAAGAAGCGGTGGGTCATGCCATCTGCTGCTAGCGGGTCGCCTTCTAAGCTGTACTACTCTTTTGAAGTAGGTGGGGCGCATGTCATCGTGCTCTCCTGCTACTCGCCGTTCGGTCCCGACTCCAAGCAGTTCGAATGGCTACAGGTGAGATACTTCTAAAGAAACGGCTGCAATGCCTACTGAATCGCCTTCTGAGCTGTCTGTACGACTCGTTTGAGGTGGGAGGGGCGCATATCATCGTGCTCTCCTGCTCTGACCAGCGCAAATGGCTGGTGGTGAGATGGCTGGTGATGAGATGGCTGGTGGTGAGATGGCTGGTGATGAGATGGCTGCAGGTGAGATGGCTGCAGGTGAGATGGCTGTTGTTATCTCTCCACGAGCCCTGTTTGTACTCCTCCAACCAAGTGCCACCACCACATGCGTTCCCACTCTCACCGCTCTGCGCCCATCCATATCTTTTTGTACCTTTCCCTGCAGAGGAATCTATCAACCTTGGATCGGTCCAGAACACCCTGCCTGGTGGTATCTCTGCACGAGCCCTGTTACCACTCCAACAGCGACCACAACAACACTCAGTCTCACCGCTCTGCACCCATTTGTGTCCCTCCGTACCGTACTTTTCAGATGGACCTGTCAAGTGTCGATCGCTCGAGAACCCCCTGGCTCGTGGTATCTTTAAACGAGCCTGGTATCACTCTAACAGCAACCACCAGACACCCACTCTCACCACTCTGCACCCATATTTGTCCCTCCGTCCCATCCCCTCATCCCTTCCCTTGCAGAGAGACCTATCAAGCGTGGATTGGACCAGAACACCCTGCCTGGTGGTATCCCTGCACGAGCCCTGGTACCACTTCAAAGCGACCACCACGTACATAACCATTTTCACCCCTCTGCACCCCTCTGTATCCCACTATACTCGCCATTCTCAGAAGGACCTATCAAGTGTCGTCACTCGAGAACACCCTGGCTGGTGGTGTCTCTGCACGAGCCCTGGTACCACTCTAACAGCAACCACCAGACATTCGGGCAGGACATGCGGAAGGCCCCCTAAACGAGACGCTCACCGCTCTGCACCCATCTCTGCCCCTCCAAATCTTCCCCTCGTATTTTCAGAAGGACTTATCAGCCGTGGATCGCACCAAAACACCCTGGCTGGTGGTGTCTCTGCACGAGCCCTGGTACCACTCCAACAGCGATCATCAGACAGACGGACAGGATATGAGGAAGGCCCTGGAAGAGACGCTGTATGCCGCCCGCGTTGACATTCTGATCACCGGCCACGTGCATGCGTACGAACGAACGGTGAGTTGTAACGATTGTTTTATAGGCTTCAAACCCCAAACTCGCTCAATATATTGACGATTTTTTAGTCCACTAAAAACTCGCTCTACACCTTGACATGCTGATCACCGGTCATGTACTTTAGAGGCGCCTCAAAACTCAAAGGTCATGTAGATGAGACGAACGCATGGTGGGTTGTAACGATTGTTGTAATGTCCATTGTAACGATTCTTGTAACGGATTGATTATATTGCCACGCTTCTGTGGGACCACTCACATCGTCACACCCCACGTTCAGCCTATTCTTTCCCTTAAGTCACCTCCATTCTCATCCCTTCTCCCCCATCTCCACCTCTTCAGAGCCGTGTGTACAACGGTCAGGAGGACCCTTGTGGGATCATGCACATCACCGTTGGGAGCGGCGGAAAGGATCTATACCCTAGGTATGTCAGTTTTTCTATCGACTAAAAAACAGACTCACTGTTGGAAGTGGCTGGAAGGATCTATACCCTAGGTATTTCAGCTGTACCTGGACAAACCAGCCCTTGAACCTGCACCTGCACCCTGCACCCTGATTAATCCACCTGTACTGGGAGACATCAAATGGATCGTATTCTGATAACTGAATATATCCGCAGCATATCCTGGGTATGCCAGATGTATTTCAAAATAATGTCGAGATCAAATGATGCTGCAGGGTGTTTTTTGAGAATTCTACTCTTCTGAGAATTCCACTTTTTTTAGATTTCTACTCTGTTGAGAAGTCTACCCTGCAGCATCATGTATTTCAAAACAATGTCGAGATCAAATGAACACCCTAATCAAATTCCTCTCTCCTCCCTTCCCCCCACCCCTCCCTTCCTTCCTCTCAGCTTCGTCTCCCCCAAGCCTGCATGGTCGGCCTTTCGTGAAGCAGCCTTTGGCTTTGCTCTCTTCAAGATTGATGGCAGTGCAGCAGGGGAAGCGGACTGGGAGTGGCAACAAAACGACGATTCCCCCACTGTTGCTGCCGACTCTGCTCGCCTAGTCAGCCTTGCCAGTGCCTCTACTCCTGCTGAATGTCGGCCTGCGTGATATGTGGTTCAAAGGGATGTAAAAGGGTGGGAAGAGGTGGCAGAGCAGCAGGGGAGGCGCATTGGGAATGGCATCGCAATAACAACTCCCCTGCTGTTGCTGAGAACTCTGCTCGCCTTGTCAGCCTGTTCAGCAGCCCTGCACCTGCTGAATGCTGGCCACTGTGATGTGCGGTTCAAAGGGGTGTAAAAACAGGAGGGGTGGGTGGGGGGAGTGTAGACCACTATAGCAGTGTAGGGGTGTTGCTCTGGTCAACGGGGAATGGGAGGGTTTGGTGTTGCAATGCTGTAATTCCCTGTTGATCCGAGCAACATTGTTCCGCTTCCACTTACCATGCTTGCTTTTAGCTGAGACTCCAGTATTTGTACACTGACTGTTGTTTATGAGTATAGGGTGCTACTAGGCCGCTTTTCACGCTGCTAGCCACTCTGTTTATGAGTTTTTCTCTTGTTAACAGTTTCTGGGATCTAAACAGCGCAGCAGCTTCGTCTGCTCTCACAGGCTCCATTTGGAACATGTTTTCATGAGTGGCAGCTCTAACACTCTCCAGGAAAACTCATCTATTTAATTTAGAAAGCTTGCTTTCTTGCATGTAGCAATTGGCATCGTCTCATTTCAAATGGGTTTAGTACAATTGAAATCCAAACAGCGTCATTACAATAATATGCCTCTATGTTATCAACACTATCCTGCTTTCGAGGGGGGGTGGGTGGGAAGATCGGCTAAACCGTCTGAAATGAGAGACGTGGGTGGAGGGAAATGACCTCCAGCCCACGTTTTGTACTCCAAAACGGGCGTTTAGCGCGGCTCGACGCTGCCAAATCCTACATTACAGGCAGCTTCGCTTTCAAAATACATAATTTTAAAAAGCGTTACATACAGCTTTTGAAAATATACATATTTAGAAAGCTTGCATTCTTGCATGTAGCAATTGGCATCGTCTCATTTCAAATGGGTCTTCTGAGACATGTGTCGTGCTGGTTGGCGATGGCGTGTCAACGCCGCTGAGTGTTGCAACGGTGACGAGGCTCGCGTCGGATCTTGGACATGTCGAGATGCTCCGACCAACTGTTCTATTGCCGGAGTGATGTACATTTCTTTAGCCGTATCGCTGCGCCACCTCCCCAGCTGCTTCAGAATGCGGTCGGGTACTCCTCCGTTGGCGGCGACGGTTGCTGCGCCTTTGCGGAAAGAGTGGGTGCCGAGGTGCTCGAGTCCTAATCCAATCTTTTGGAATGCCTCCTTGCACCAATTGCGAATCGTTGTGTAGGAGGGTGGTGTTGGCGGACTACCACGACCCATGGTGTCTGAACCGAAGACTCGTATCAGTGGACCTTCCTGTGCACGGCCGTAGCCTGCCAACTGGATGAAGCGCTTAGTGCACTGTACGGGGCAAAAAGGGCCCGAAGTTGCGGCTACGGGAACCCATGCACCGTCTCCTGCCTGGTCTGTTTTGGAGCGGGGGATCAGGAGCCACATAACGTCTTGCTCGAACTCAATCTCGTGCCAGTTAAGTGCGGCGAGGTCTGAGTATCGTAGGAAGCCGGAGTACATGAGTAACAGAATGAGCCCCTTCTGAAACTCGCCAGGCTTGTTCGATTCCAGGAATTCCGCCGCCATCGCGTGTACTTGATGTAGAGAGACGGGTTCCTTGAGACGCTGGGGCCGCGGGCAATGTCGCTTGGCGAAGTCTCGCACATTGGATGTGAATGGCCCAGTCGACGGGCACGTGGCCCCAATCATCCGATGCGCAAAGCTGACTGCCGAGCATGTCAGTTGTATTGCCGATATGGTGGCCTTCTGTTGAATCGCGTGGACCAGGTATAATGCGAGTGTCATGTCTGTGCATGGCAGGAACTGCAATTTGACGTGTGTGCAGAATGCGCGAAACTTGGCCCAGTATGGTTCGTAGGTGCGAATCGTCGAGTCAGCCCTCGTACGCGTGGTTATCCGAAGCAATTCTTGCTTTAGCTTCTCGAGCAATCCTGCACCAGATGTGTGAATGGTCAGGTGGAGAAGGACACTCGTAATGCAATAATCGGGCTGTGCGGCAATCCTTCCCCAGAAAAGGCGCGGGTGTGGGTGCCTGCGGACAGGCATTGGCTCCCGTGGGTGAGGCGGATGTGGGCGAGAATGCAGGCAGCCCATTGGGGCGGAGCAGGTTGTAGTAACGGCCACCAGCTTGCCCCTGGCCAGTGAGGCACAACGAGCGTGAGCGACGCTCGCGTCCTTTGGGCGTGATGCAACACCGCTGGGATGAGGTGGGGTGGCGGAAAGGCATATGCATGCTCGGAGGCCCATGATAGGGAGAAGGCATCAGTTGCCTCCGCGTCGGGATGAGGGGTTTTGGCGCAGAAGCGAGCCAGCTGGGTGTTGTTCGCATTGGCAAATAGATCGATAGAGTGCGGTCCCAAGCGCCGTTCAATAAGCCGGAACCATGGTGCTTTGAGTGCGTAGTCGTCTCGATCGATCATCTTTGAAAGTTCATCAGCTCGTGTGTTGAGTTCGCGCGGAATCCATTCGACCGTCAACAGAATCCCGAAGGCAACGCACGCTTGAATAATGGCTCTGCACGTTGTTGTGAGGCTCGGAGTCCGCGAACCACCTTTGCGAAGGATAAAGAAGACACCTTGGTTGTCGGTTCTGGCGAGGACATGTCGGTCCTGGATCCTTCCCGAGAATGTCTGCAGCGCCCATAGAACTCCATCCATTTCTCGTTGTGTGCTGGAGGCTTTCGTGAGGTGCACGGGCATGGTTGCGCTCGCCTCAATGCGCCTTCCCGGGAACGAATCTAGTGTCGCTCCCCAACTGTGTGCGCTGGCGTCCACATGGATCACTGCATCGTAGCTGTTCGGGACGTGGAACGGGGCGCCATTGAATTTGTCAAATTCATGCAGCCAAAACTCGAGCTCTTCAATGACCGCGGGGACCAACTGCACTCTGCTGTTCCAGGAAGGGGCATCTTGAATGGTCTGTAATAGGTTCTGGCTGAATGCACGTGCGGTTGCGCCGATGGCAAGTGACATCGACGCGAGCATGCCGGTAACTCTGGCGACGTGGCGGATCGAGACTTTGCGTTCGGCCTTGCCGGCCATGCATAATTCATGAATGGTTGAGCGTAATGATGCTCGCCGCTCGGGGCCAATGGAGAACTGGCCGCGTTGTGTATCCAACTCGACACCCAAAAAACGCAGTTGCTGGGTGAGTTGCAGGTGCGACTTCTTAGAATTGATAACCAGTCCCGCCTTGCTGAGGTCTTGCACCACCATCTGACTCGTGGTTCTCGCTTCTGCTGCCGTGCGACACAGAAAGAGGATGTCGTCGACGTAAGGGATGACTCGCACCCCAAGTGCCCGCCAACGACGGGCGAGTTGCTTGATGAGCTGTGTGAAAACGAACGGGGCTGTCGCCAGACCAAATGGCAGAGACTGAAAAACGTACGAGCGCCCGTCGAATTGGAACCCGAGGAACTTCCAGTAGGAAGGGTGGATGTCAACGTGGTGGTATCCTGATTTTAAATCGACTACGAACATCCAGTCGTCTTCGTGAACGAGCTCCGCCACCCGGTTCAGTCCTTCGTACTTGAATTTGGGGATACATAGATGTCGGTTCACCCGTCAGAGGTCAAGAATCAGCCGGCACTTTTCTCTTTGAACCACGACATTCAGCGGGCTAATACATAGCTGTTGTTCCGTTGGGGCGGGAGCGGCCGCACCACTCTCGAGAAGCTCGGTTATTGCCTGCTTGGTGAACGTGGAATGAATTAGCGCTCCCGCGTGGTTGTCCTGCCGGAACGGCGTGGGTGGGCCATGCTTCCATGGCATCCAATAGCCGTTGGAGATTACCAAGAGTATGAAACTACTCTCACACCATGAGCTCCACCATGGAAATGCCGTGCGCAGGCGCCCACGCATGGTCGTGACGACCTTGTCAGTGACCGCAAACTCGTAGGGGCCACGCCCCTCGATCATTCCATCCCCCGGCAAATCTGTGGCCATTGGACCATGGGGTGTGGGGGCAACATGGGGCATGCCTCGTTAAAAACCCAAGACCCAAATCACACCAGGAAGTCGACTGGGAATGGTAGGTTTAGACAAAGACCCAGGCAGTAGGTTTGGTTAGAAACTCGGAAGCCAATCCTGGCAAAAAAAACCAAGTCAAACTCTGGACCAATCCCGTGAGAGTGGTGACACTTGCCACCCAACTCGATGATTCTGGCCTTAGCCTTTGAACAAGGCGTTCTCTCTCTCTCTCTCTCTCTCTCTCTCTCTCTCTCTCTCTCTCTCTCTCTCTCTCTCTCTCTCTCTCTCTCTCTCGCTCTCTCTCTCTCTCTCTCTCTCTCTCTCTCTCTCTCTCTCTCTCTCTCTCTCTCTCTCTCTCTCTCTCTCTCTCTCTCTCTCTCTTGGCCACCTTTGTCTTGCATAATGGCGTGTGCTCGTGGTATTGTGGGACCCCAAGTCCCCTACCATCTCGTTTCCGTTTGCCCCCCCTTCGCACGTGATTCCTTTGCGTTGTATGGGTGCATAGCCCAAACATCTTACCGCTTTCCGTTTTTTTTTTTTTTTTTTTTTTTTTTTTTTTAACGCTCGCTATCTCTCTCCTTCTCTCGCTTTCTAATTCGCGTGTACCGTAGGCCGCCATACCGTGCGGGTGTTGTTTCAGGTCCACGCATCAAGAGCGCATGCTCCCACTTTTTTTTTTTTTTTTTTTTTTTTCAAAGCTAGTCCAACGACTTCGCCCATTAGGCCTTTCCACTCATTCATAAGAGCATACAAACATTATTTCCAATCACATGTTCACCTAGGACTCCTAGTCCTACGCCCCTTGCCTTGGGGTAGGCCCGCGGCCTTTCTCACATCCCCTATGGGATAGGCCAGCGGCCTCGCACTTCCTAGTGCCATCACCCTCACTCGAGCCTCTCGGCACCACCCCCTAGGGTGTTCACACCACCGACGCCGGCCCTTGGGCTCCCCCCCCATTTTCCGGGCAATCATTGGCCA